AGCTTCAAGTTGTTTTAATGAAAGTGTAAAGACTTTATTAGTAAAGAAGTATAAAACTTCTTGCAAACATCTTTTTTGTATATAATCAAAGGATCAGCAAAAAGAGTTTTATAAGAAATCAATTATTTATGTTTACTATTATAATTAAAATATATTAAGTTTTTATATTAAAAAACTCTTTCTGCTAATCCTCTGACCACATACAAAAAAGACATTTGCAAGAAGATTTTATTCTTCTTGATTAATAAAGTCTTTTTACTTTTCTTAAAACAACTTGAAGCTTGTCTTCAAGAGTCATTATTATTCTCCCTTGCTTGTTTACAAACTCCTTTAAATAAAAACTTACGTCTTTAGTGACCTGAATAGACTCAAGCATATACTTCCTTTACTAAAGGCAAGAAGATTCTAGAAAGTAAAAGGATCAACTTATAGAGTGTCTCCTTTCAAAGCTAGATATAACATGGAGATAGAGGTTTTCTGGATAAGGAAAGGTTTATTATCTGCCTTCTCACATATTGTCTCTTGCCTTCTTAGAGTATTCACTATTTTTTCATGATTTTTTTGAGGGAATTTTGCCTATTCCAATTTGATCCTGAATTTTTGATAACATAATATTATTTGGTTTTTGATTGGTTGTCATAAAACACATTGATAGCTAAATATAAACAAGGTTCTATAGATCATATTCATGTGTTTTGATGATATTATTGATGAAATAAAAAAGAATCAATTGGTGCATAATTCTTCACACCTCCAAATAAAGTGTAACTGAAGCAAAAAGATCATAACACTATTAGGATAGGTATTAAATTCACTAATTAATAAAAAAAATAATTATTTATTCAAGTCGAGATCTTCAATTTCCTATTATCCTGGTCAAATGAAATATATAAAAAAGATTATTTCCTTATCCTGGTTAAACAATACTGTACAATTGAAAAGCAAAAGAGTGTAAGCTATTGTTTTTTTCTAGAATTGAGAATACATTTTTTCAAATATTGTGTAATAATATTAAAATCGATGAGGATATTCGCTGCTCCTTTGATACCTTTCCACTATTGTGAGACAAAAAAATCTTTGGGAAATAACTTTTTGAACAATAAAAGATATATACCAGTAAAATTCTATTAACTAGGTATGGCTACTGGAAGATATCAGTAATTATACAATATGACTGAAAGATTACATTAGAACCTGAGATCCATTATAAGTTGTTGCTTGGTATGGATAAATAAAAAATTAATATCAAAAGAAAGGAAGTGATGAATAAGAATCTGGATCCAAGTAGACAATAAGTACCTCAAATAGTCTCAAGAAAATAATTAAGAGCACAGATAAATAAGTTTTTCAAATAGTTAGGAAGAAGAATGATATCTCAGATGGGTTGATATCTAATGAGAAGAGATTTCTAGTAAAGATTCTTTAAAGAATATAAAGTATTTTAATTTTTTTTTTTTTCATTTTTATATAGTGCATTTGTACATTTTTAAATATTTCTTTTCTTTTATTTTTCCTTTTTCCTTTTATATTTCTTGAATTCAGTTCCTTGAAGGATAATAAGCAATGATAACTTGCTAACAATAATGGGTAAGTTAGAAGTATATTTATCCAAAACTTAGTTCAGAACGAAATATTATTCCTAAGGTTGTACTTAGAGGTTGAAGCTCTTTTGAGAATTGAAAGCTATTGACAGTGTATTAGTACAAGTTTTTTAGTTTAACTATAATGCAATTGCTCTATGTATCTCTATCAGTTTTCATATTGTTTAATAAATATATTATATTGAATTAATTACAGGTATTAAAAAAAAAATATATATATATATTAAGTTTCTATATTAATTTGATATCTAATTATAAATATGGTTAAATTGAAATGTTATTTAAAAACAAAAATCAATAATAAAGCAAAAAAAGTAAATTCAAAAAAAAAAAAAAGGATTTTTAATTATTTTGAAAAACAATTGAAAATATAAAATATAAAAATACAACAAAATAAAAATGAGCTTATAAATTTATCAAAAATAATAAAATTAAAAAACTATTAAAATTATTTATATCAAAATTAAAACTATAAAAAAAAAAAAGAATTGAAAACAAGAATTTTATAAAAATCTTAATAAATGAAATCAAGTATAAAACAAAGTAATTAGATTTTGATCACTGATAATAATTTTTTGTTAACAATATTAAATAATTAAAAAGTAATTATTTGAACTACGAAATTTGTACTTAAGGTTTTAAACTAAAACAAGTAATTGGAAAATTAGCTTTAGTAATAGTTTACAAAAAGGTTTAATAAAGCATATGTAACTAACTTGACAAAAAGTAAAAAAAAAAAAAAAAAGTTTAAAATTAAAATCAAATAAAATCTACTGTATATAAATAATATTTAAAAAAATACCATACTATAAAATTTCTTGTAAAAAACTTTTTCACTATTAAATAAAGTCTTTTAAAATATAAATATAGTATATATATATATATTTCGTAAAAAAAAAAAATCAATTTATATAATTAATGGAATTTTTATTCGCAGCGAAAAAAAAAAGTTAAATGAATCTTCGATATTTCACATAACTTACAGATAAATATTGACTTTTATTTATACATGATACAGTAAATATCAATATCGGTGTTCAAAATTTTCTTTTCAGCGAGACTCGGATAAAAATCGATGCAAAGAAATTTTTAAATAACATTAGTAGTTTAAATCGTGATAGTGAAGGGTCATGCGAATTTGGGTAGATCCCAATGTCGTTAAGATTTGCGACTTCTTATTTCTTTAAGTTGCCGATGATGGTCTGTTTATTGAAAAAGAACAATTGGTAAGCGAAGCGGTAAAAAAAAAAAAATAACATTGGAATATTGAGACAAAGAAATTTCACATTCCTCCTTTGCGTATTTGGCAACAACGCCTTTATCATGCAACATGTTGAACTGAAAAAGGAGATAAGAATTAAGAATTTAAGTCTTCTTTTCCAAAGGACAGAGTTAGTTAAAAAAAGAGACGCCCAAACCTCTTCTGTCGCGTCCTTTCCGGCGTATAATAAAATGGCCTTCTTGCCGCCAGGATGGTCTGATATCAAATATAAATTCAGTTAACCAAATTATAAAAAAAAAAAAAATGAAAAAAATGAAAAATGAAATGAAATAATTACCTGGAAGGAAGTTAGTAACGTCTAAAACCTGGCCGTTGACAACCACCCAACAATCTATGTAAGCAAAAAGATTTTTAATTTTAATAAGATAAAAATCTCATCGAAAGCATTACAAATCTACATTTAACAATTATTCACCGCTTTCGGTGTTATGTTTGGCCACTTCGCTAAGGGTATAATCTTTCAACTGTTTGGGTGCTTCGGTTTTCTCAGGTTGAGCAGGTGCAGTCGCTGGAGCGGAAGACTGAGGTTGAACAGGTTGACTTACAGCTCCGCCTTGTTGATCCCATGAGATTTCCAAAAACACTTTTTTATTATTTGGGTCTATAGACACGGTAGTCTGATACGGAGATAATTGTCCAGCGATTTGACCAAGACGACGACTGGCAGTTGAACTAGATAAATTTTGGAGAAGATAACGCGCTGCAGAGTCACCGGCAACTCGACCGAACACCACGCATCCCAGAAGAGATGAACCACCCAATCTACAATAGATAATAATAAATACAATTTTAGGTTCACATAATGGTCAAATAAAACTTTATCAGAGCGTAGGACTAACCTATTTGCCCCGTGAACACCCCCAGCTAATTCTCCAGATGCGTAAAGTCCGGGTATAATTTTTCCTTGTACGTCTTTGACTTCCGAATCAGGATTGATTTCGACACCACCCTGCAAAAGTTGTGTAAAAAAATTAAAAAATTTTTTTCTTTTTTGACACCATAGCACACCTATAAATCAACCGAGTTATTGCCAATTATAACGTACCATCGTGTAATGTAGAACGGGAGACATTAAGGCGACGTGGAACTCATCATCGACAGAAATTGGCGTGTTGTGGAAGAACTTCTTGCCATAAGGATCTTTCTTTCTGCCTGCCGCTATTTCATTATATTCATCAAAGGTGGCTCTCAATTGTGAAACAGAAATACCCATTTCTTTCGCTAACGCTTCACCAGTGAATCTCCTCATTAAACCACGGCCGGAATAATGTTTACAATGCCATTCAATTTCTTTTGAGGCTTTGCCGTTAAGCACTAGACGAACTGGCATCTTGGTTTTCCAGATTTCTCCGGTAACATAATCACGGTGACCCAACTCATCACAAAATCGTTTTCCTTCGGCATTTAATAGCAAGCCACCTACACCCCGAAGAGCTTCGGCAGCCAAGAATTTGATTTTAGAGTCGGGATCCTTTGGATCCACCAAACCAGTCGGATGAACTTGAACTTTTTCAAAGTCAATTCCTTTTCCGCCAATGGCAAGAATCATCTTGTGACCGTCGCCGGTGCAGTGATCTCCGTTAGTGGTGGGTAGATGGTATATATCGGGGCGGTATTTTTTTAACAATGAATCTTCGGTAAAATCAGCGGCATAACCACCCGTAGCCAAGATCACAGGACCGTATTCCTTAAATGTCTGACCATCTTTGACATATTCGACGCCAACAACTGCATCACCCTCCTTTATCAATTTAGTGGCGCGTGCTTTCATAATAACTCGGGCTCGGTCGGGTTGGTTTTTAACAATCAACTCGAGATGTTCCATCAAAGCATAGGTGATGGTCATACCGGGAAACATTTCTTTACCGCGGTGAGTACGCGGCTGAGAATGACCTCCTAGTCTTGCGACGAGAGAAAGATCCAGCTTGAATTTATTCTGAAGCCATTCTACTGCGGATGCAGAATTCCCCGTAAGCACCTTTATAATATCTGGGCGAGCAAGGTCGCGGGCCGATCGAAGGGTATCTTGTTCAAAGAGTTCGACGGAGTCTGGAATCTTGAGGGCTACACGGAGGATAAGCCATTACAATGTTATTTAAACATGATTGCGGTATGTCCACTATAAAAATGGAAGCGTTTTTTCCAACACTTGCCTATCTGGGTTTTTGTCAAAGCGCCATTTATACCAGAGGTGGCCTTGGTGGAGTTACCACCAAAAAATGAGTTCTTGTCAATTACAACGACATTACCACCGTGCTCTAACACAGTGTGGGCAGCCGAAAGTCCGGAGAGACCACCACCGACAACAATAATTTGACTAGCCATTCTCGCTAAAAAAAGAAATGAAGATATGAAGGCGTGTTTCTTTTATTCGTTAATATGCTTTGATCAAAGATCAGTTAAAATGACACCCTATAATTACAACATGTCACGCCATCCTTTTTATATACGCCAGGATCTATGTGACAATGCATCAAAATGCATCAGTGATTGGCTGCCTAATAATCGTATGTCCAACAAAAAAAAAATAATCAAGATCTATCGCTATCTAGATCACGCACAATTCTCCATCTTAGTTTCTTCTAATACTGTAAATTTAATCAAAGTATGCTAATAATTATGTGCCTCCAAATAAATATGTAATTTCCTATTAAATGTTATTCTTGTATTGCTTTGTTTTTTGCAGTGGAATATTTGGTTAAGCGCGCATATGTTGGAGGTCTTTCCAAAGACATCACTGAGAATGATCTCAAAACTCGCTTCAACCTTTTCGGAAAAATAATGAAGATAGATATTATACGTCACTCGAGTACAGGTAGCAGAATTCGGTGATTGTCAAAAGTTGACCAATTTGTTTTACGGGGTATTTTTTTTTTTTTTTTTATTTCTTTACACAGGAGATTGCCGAGGCTTTGCATATATCACGATCGAGACAACAGAAAATGAATGGAAAAAGTGTAGGGATAACCAGATGTAATTTTGTGCCCATCCGATAATCGGATTATTAAATATTAATCAAATTTCAACGATAATATAAAGGCATATCCCTTTTTAATGGAGCAAAATGGAAGGGAATGGCGTTAACGATTCAAGACGCGAAGCCAGACTATAAACAAAGGCAATTTTCAATTGTCATTATTTTAATGCATCCGTTTTTTTTTTTTTTTTTTTTTTTTTTTTTTTTTTTTAAAAAAACCTAATTACGATCACGTGATATTTGTTACTGGGGTTTAATGACGAAAAGGTTGAGAGATGAATGGGCGATCGAATCGTCAATATTGTCTAAAAAACGCAAATCGGAGAATTTTTCCACGCAAAAGGAGGATACGGATAACGACAGCGACAGTGCCTATGAGGTTTGTCGAAATTTTGATTCTTCAGAGGAATTGGGAATTCAGTTTGATGCATGATTGACGTTTGTTAATTTCTAATTGTGGAAGACGCCTGATGAACGTGCGACTGCAATAATGTGCATTAAAAAAAAAGATAGTGAGACAAGAGTAACGGAATTAGAGTATTTCTTTGCATTTGATATTTACTCTTATGCACCTGTGTAATTAATTAATTATTATATTTAGTCCACGAATCCAAGTACGCAAGGGAACGATATTAGAAATTTTTTTGATAAGGACCTGGACGCGAAATTTAATCAAAAGGACCGGTCATCAACTTTTGTTAACGAAAATCAAAAAAAAACAAATGCGAAAGCAAAGGCTGCGGAAGAGAAAGATTCTGAAAGAAAGTTTTTTAATGTGGCAATCAATGAAAATTCGAATGGCGTAAACGGCACCAATTCACCGAACGCGGTTAACAACATAGAAATAAAGCACACGAATTCGTCGTCTTTGAAATCTGAGTGCGCTGAATCTCCTGAAAAATCGCAACTTCCACCCTCGATAATCGATGGTCTTAAAAAGATGGAGAAGAATGAAATTACATCCCGAGAGGTTTATTATTTATTTACCAATTTTAACAAAAAAAAAAAAACAAGTCAAACTATTTTTTTAATATTAAATCAAATTTTTCTGTTTAGGAACAATCAAACAAAGTTCGTTTGGAAGCTCTGAAGCAACGCGCATTAGAGAAAAAAGTTAGAATGGAGAGGATAACACAGGCATTAAGAAATGACTGCCAATTGACCGTAATTATCCGATGTTTATTTGCCAAGTGACTTATTGAACCGATTGATTGAACAAAAACATTAACTGCGAATAGTATTATAGAAGTCGAAAGGTCGTTTATTGTTTTCTGATAATGAAGACTCGGCAATCGATAAATCACCAGGGAAATTCAATTTGTTTGATTCAGATTCCGAGGAACGAGAAGAACGATCTATGGGTATTTTGAGATGCATACATATGTGCGTATTTTTTTCAGCAGTCTGGATAGAAAAATGTATTATTAACATGGTTTACTATTCATCAGATATAACAATAAATCCTATATTCGAGGGTTCTTCGGGTCGTGAACGGTTGAATACTCAAAAAAGATTTCACGGAGACCATCGGTTCAAATTGACCGAAGATTTCGTAAGCGACGATGACACTAATGAAAAAAATGCTCCTGTCGGTCACACCGATCTTGATAACGAAATAACAAAGTTTTTGGAAGAAGAAAAGTCTAAAAGATTAGGGATTCTTAATGAGCTTCTTGGTGGTGATTCGAAATTCGAACAACAAAAAAGGTTTGCATCGAATATATCTATTTTCATTTCGTTCTTTCATATCGTAGATGCAAGATAAATTCTTAAATTTACAGGAAATCAAAAGAATGGAAAGAGATGGTTCATTTCGATCCTGATATGCCAGAAGCAAAATCGTTAGAAATCCCGAGAAATGAAGGTTTATCGGGTATCAGTTATACACTTTTTGGTCTCAATACATTTGACATTGTCAAATGCAACACCTGATGACGATATATAACCCAATTTTTAGAAGTTACGTTCGAGTCTAAATTATCATCGACACAGCCTTTACCGATAGTTTCAAAGGAAGTAAAAATTGAAATAAATGCAGATTTAAAAGGAATTTTTGCACCTGGGGTGAAAAACTGTAAAATACTTTATCATCATACGTGTATTATTCATATTGTTTACTTTTGGGTCTGACCGAACGTAAATTTTCCACTAGTGACTTCTTTCCCGCTTTTTAGTATTGATGGAAAGAATGAGGATACGACGGCGGAAAATCACAATGTTGACGAAGGAGTCATGGAATCCTCATTGCCAGTACGTCATCAGGAAATCTGGGTAATTATGTACCAATAATAATATTCACCAACCAATTAATACGCATAGGAGCAGCCGCAATCACCAAAAGTAGAGTCTGACAAAAACCACGATGTAAAACCGTCAGCCGGTCCCTTATTCTTTTTCCACTTTGGAGATAGCGAACTTTCAAAAAGGTATGCTTGAGATTTTACCGTGATTCACTTATATCCACTTTGAATTTCATTTCTAATAGTCATTGTCTCCTTTGAATCTACTGCAGGTCTCACTATAGTGATTTAAAGATTTTCATGAGGACCTCGACTGTGTAAGGATATTGTTTTGAATTAAAATTCTTTGTTTGTTGCTGGATTGTTAATAGACATACATATTTGATGATAGCGAGGAGATAGTGTCTAGTTGGAAAGAAACCTCACGTGATATGACCATTGAATACAAGCGCAAGCACAAATCGGTGTCGCGGAAATTGCAAAAGATTAAAAGTAAGAGAAGGTTGGGATAAGGTTGATTCGTATTACTGTGCATGAATCATTCTAAAACTTCTTGGTACGTGAAATTTTTTTACAACTAAAATTGCGATTTTTCAATCGCCAAGGCATATTATAATGCAAAAAAAAAAAAAATGTATATTTAAAAATGCTTTATATACAGTGTAAAAAATTTCTGAGAGATTTACAAACTTTTGTAAAATATGCAAAAAAAAAAAAAAAAAATCGCTCACTAAAACTAGTCAGAGATGGGGGTATCAATTAATCGTTAGGATCTGTTTTAATTCAATAGATGCCTTCCATGTGAAACATTTTAGAATTCTTAAATGAATGGATGCCAAAAATTTTTTTCAAAAAGTAACACGCGATTTACATAATAAAATTTATGCATTATATTTTGTTATTTTCGATCCTTTCTCCTTTTATTCTTTTCTTTTACAATCCTTTCTATACAGTATATGTTTGACAACAGAAAAAATTTTTAAATCTAATGTTTGATGCTAGTACACATAAAAAATGCGAATGAGATACGACATTTATAATCGTAAAAAGATCTAAAAAGAATTGACACAAAATCTATTAATCATCAACTATTGCGTTGAACTATTTTATAAAAAGATTAAAAAGCTGATGATGATTATTATTATTATTATTTTGCAATAACTCATTATTGTATAAAAGTATTATCTAAGTTAAATTAAATCTCCTATTAACAAACCTAGCTTAAAAACTCTTGTATTATTGCCAATCAATTGTCAAAGTCAATTGTTTTCATAATGTTGAACAAAATAAGAAATTTTATTAGAAATTTATTATTAAAAATTTTTATTTTTAAAAATATACTTAATTTTTTTTTTTTTTTAAACCCATAATTAAATTAATATCATATATTTATTAATTATTATAAAAACTGATGAAAATTTATTGGACATATACAGTATGTCAATAGCTAAACTAAATCTTATACTAACTTATCTATCAACAACTATCAATTCTCAAAAAAGCTTTAATTTCTAAATATTATTTTAAAATCAATATTTTATTTTATACAAATTTTTAATAAAAACGTTTCTAATTTATTCATCATTACTAATAAGTTATCACTATCTATTATCCTTCAAAAAATTGATTTTTGAGAAACTATTATAAGAAAAAAAAAATCTAAAAATACAGTATACAAGTATATTGTATAAAAAAAAAAAGTTTATAAAGTTTTATGTTTTTCAAAAAACCTTAACCAAAAATCTTTTTATTATATATTAAAATCAAATTTTTTAAAATATTCTTCTTTTCCTAATTATATAAAAACTTATCTATTTGAAATCTTAGCTAAAAATCTTTTCTTATTAAAATCAATTTTTTTGAAATATTCTTCTTTTTTTAATTATAAAAAAAACTTATCTATTTGAAACCTTAACTAAAAATCTTTTCTTATTAAAATTAATCTTTTTGAAATATTCTTCTTTTTCTAATTATATAAAAACTTATCTATTTAATATCTTGATTGTTTTTTTATAACTATCTAATTATTTACTCAAATCTAATATTCTACTTAACACTTTTTTTTTCATTAAAAAAAAAGTGACTTATAATCTTTTATTTTTCAAATTTATTGTCTAATTAAAATAAAAAAATAATTTCTTTCATATACTTTGTCTAACTGAAATAATAGAAAGTAAAGATATCAGTTTGAATAGATTAATATTTATATTATATTATTTTAAAAGAGTATAAATATTTATATTTATAATTTTTTTTTTTTTTAACATTATTATTAGAATATATATTATAATTAATAAAAGTTTGATTTTATTCTATTTTTTTTTAAAAAAAAAAAATCCTTTATCAAGTTAGGTATACTGTATATACTTTATTAAATATATATATACTTTATATTGAAAAATATATTACTAAAGCTAGGTTTCTATCTAACTAACACATCTCTATTTTACAAATTATTAAAACTCTAAATATAATTTTAAAAGTAATTTATCACTCTGTTAGTAGTTTAGATAAAGATCTTTTCAACTGTTAACTTTATTGCCTATAAATAATTACTATAGATCACTTTGCAAGATTTTGACAGAGCTTAAAATCCAATTATTTTATTTTATACTTTATTTCTTATTAGAATTTCTTGAAAACTTTCATCTTCAAGATTTCTTTTTTCAAGTAGTGGTTCTCTTTCTTCAGGTACATAATTTTCTGACCTGAAAATATAAAGATCTTTTTGTCATATCCTTTCTATCAATTTCTTATATTTATTTCTATTCAATTATCATTTTGCATCTCTTGTTTAAGATTTTTTTTTAAACTTGGTTGCCAACTCTTTTTTGTATCTTTATTATTCACTTTCTTGATATTTTTTCTATATATTTACCTTGATATTTTAAATCTGCCATTTCTAAAATAATGTTATTTCTTATAAGGCCAGTATAAAAACTTAGAATATTTAGTTAATTTTAGAAATCTGTTCTATTACTTTAATGATCCGCTTGTCAAACTTCTTTATTTCTACTTGATCATTATAATCAACTTAGAATTTTTCTCTTTAGCCTCTTCTTTTTTTTTCCCATAATAGTTCTTTAAAGTTTCTAATAATTTCATCTATTCCTTTATTCCATATCTCTTGTAGCTGATCCTTATAGCTAAACATTCTAATAAGTATTCTATAGTTTTATCTTATTAACTACATGTAATACATTTTATTTGTTTATATAGGTCAAATCTTTTTACAGTTAATTTATTTAGAATGAATAGTTCATAATTGATCAGTTTGATGAGAAAACTTCTTTGTTAAAATTGTTTAAAGAATATATTTCATATGTATATATCTTTAATTCTTTTCCATACTAGGTCCCATATACAGTATAAGCCTAATGTTTTGCAATCTAGTAACTCTAGTTTTTCTTTATTCTATTTTGCTATGTTTACTAATAAGCTATTATTTTAATATTAATATTCTTAATGAACTACCTAATTTTTTTTTTTTTTTTTTTTTTTTTTTTTTTTAAACGGGCTCATGCCTAACTTTATTGAATCCCAAATTACAAGTTTACATTGTGCAAAGCGCAAATACATTGATGTATATTCGGGGAGAATAAAGATAATGATAAGCTAAAGTAATTCTAAAGCTACTTCGAGGCTTATTGCCCTTCTTTTTACAAAGAAAACCAA